TTAGATTTAAGAAGAAACTTTTGGTACGTCTGTAAAGGTAAGATGTCATAGAATGGTTTTCTAGTGTCAGCACCATTGTAGCTTTGACCTTGCCTGAAATATTAGGGACAAAATATTTTGCATTTTTTGAACCTCGCCAAAATTTTCTTTGAAATAAACATTGCAAAACACTACCCAAATATTATTTATAGCACAAAAAAGTAGTACAGACTTTCAAATCTAAATGTTGTGTAAAAATATACCAAATTTGGACTCAATCAGATGAATCATATTAATTTTAGAATGGTATTAGTGAGAAATTTCTTAGGCGGAGAGACCATTTTGGCACATTTATCCATAAATGTCACCAAACTTTGCCAAATATGTTTTTTACATCAATACTGGGGGTTTGGTAAAACTACGAGGTCATGTAGCAGCTGGACCCGCCGGTGGGTCCGTAGGGTTCAAGGGGTTAATGGATTTCAGTTTTAATAAATAATTGAGGGTTTTAGTTGTAACATTTATGTACCCTTCTTCCTTTATTTGAAAATTATGATGATCAGCTGATGTTCTAAAAATTCATGAATGGAAACAAACTAATTGGACTACACCTCATTTTTTCATGTTAGAGAGGCAAACCCTGATCAGAAAGCCATTATATTGGGGCATTACTGTTTGAATTTATTATGAAATATCATACAATGGTCACTTGTAGTTTTCAAGAGCTGAAAAAGCGAATGCTGGTAATAATAAGAATGCAGTATTTCTCTCTTAAAAAGATTTCTTAAATCACAAAAATTGTATTATGTCAAGTAATTTATTTTATCTTGTGATGTCAATAGAGAAATTTTTTATGTCAAATATTTCAAACACTGACAGGGAGAAATTTCTGTAGTGCTTTAGGTAATGAGCTTAAGCAAGTGACTCCATACATCCTCTACAGCGTAAATAGTGATTTTAAGCATTCAGCAAGCAGTGCATCAAGTTTACAGTGCAGAGACTGAATCCAAGAAATTGAAAGACAGTTTCGTATTCACAACAACTAGGTAGGTAGGTAGGTAGGTAGGTAGGTAGGTAGGTAGGTAGGTAGGTAGGTAGGTAGGTAGGTAGGTAGGTAGGTAGGTAGGTAGGTAGGTAGATAGGTAGGTAGGTAGGTAGGTAGGTAGGTTTGGGTGGGTGGTTGAGTAAGTAGGTTTGGGTGGGTGGTTGAGTAGGTAGATAGGTAGGTAGGTAGGTAGGTAGGTAGGTAGGTAGGTAGGTAGGTTTGGGTGGGTGGTTGAGTAGGTAGGTTTGGGTGGGTGGTTGAGTAGGTATGTAGGTAGGTAGGTAGGTAGGTAGGTAGGTAGGTAGGTAGGTAGGTAGGTTTGGGTGGGTGGTTGAGTAGGTAGGTAGGTAGGTAGATTTGGGTGGGTGGTTGAGTAGGTAGGTAGGTAGGTAGGTTTGGGTGGGTGGTTGAGTAGGTAGGTAGGTAGGTAGGTAGGTAGGTTTGGGTGGGTGGTTGAGTAAGTAGGTTTGGGTGGGTGGTTGAGTAGGTAGGTAGGTAGGTAGGTAGGTAGGTAGGTAGGTAGGTAGGTTTGGGTGGGTGGTTGAGTAGGTAGGTAGGTAGGTTTGGGTGGGTGAATGAGTAGGTAGGTAGGTAGGTAGGTTTGGGTGGGTGGTTGAGTATGTATATAGGTAGGAAGGTAGGTAGGTTTGGGTGGGTGGTTGAGTCGGTAGGTAGGTAGGTAGGTAGGTAGGTTTGGGTGGGTGGTTGAGTAGGTAGGTAGGTAGGTAGCTAGGTAGGTAGGTTTGAGTAGGTTTGGCTAGGTAGGTAGGTAGGTTTGGGTGGGTGGTTGAGTAGGTAGGTAGGTAGGTAGGTAGGTAGGGGTGGGTGGTTGAGTAGGTAGGTAGGTAGGTAGGTTTGGGTGGGTGGTTGAGTAGGTAGGTAGGTAGGTTTGGGTGGGTGGTTGAGTAGGTAGGTAGGTAGGTTTGGGTGGGTGAATGAGTAGGTAGGTAGGTAGGTTTGGGTGGGTGGTTGAGTATGTAGGTAGGTAGGTAGGTAGGTAGGTTTGGGTGGGTGGTTGAGTAGGCAGGTAGGTAGGTAGGTAGTTAGGTAGGTAGGTAGGTTTGGGTGGTTGAGTAGGTAGGTAGGTAGGTTTGGGTGTGTGGTTGAGTAGGTAGGTAGGTAGGTAGGTAGGTTTGGGTGGGTGGTTGAGTAGGTAGGTAGGTAGGTAGGTAGGTAGGTTTGGGTGGGTGGTTGAGTAGGTAGGTAGGCTGTATTTTAATGACAGTTTTTTTGTTTACATTTAAAGATACATATAACAAACAGGGGTTTTCCAAATTGCTTGGTCTTAGTTTTTATACAGTAGACCAACAAAGGCTTGTTTTTTTTGAAAACATGCAAATTGGAACAGAGGAAGGGGTCCACCCATTTGGAATGGGGGTCGTTTGGCTTCTTTTGTTAGACTTCAATGCCCCATAACCAACTAAGTGCCTGAAATGTCGGTCGTTAAACGGGATTGTTGGACTGGCTGAATAGACAAGGTCCTCCACTCTACTGTGCAGGGGGAGGGGCTGCGATGATAACGGGAAGGGGTTAACTCAATAGCTGCATTGAAAGTTATCATCATCATCATTATCATCATCATCTCATCATCATTCAGGTCTGAACATTTACAGGACCATTGCATTAGATAGACATGCTTTGATCTCCGCCAAAGACATTGTTAGGGGCCTGACCATATGTGTTTAGAACAGTCCGGAAGTACCTACATTTTCATAGAGCAGTTAGTTTATAATGAAAATAACATTCAACATGTTGTTAAAAACAGCTGATCCCCAGGCTGTTCTCTACATCTAGTCTGTTCTGCTGCTTGTTTTTTATGTGTGTCAAACCTGAAGGTGAACTCAAAGAAAAACTTACTATTTGGTTAGGAAAAGCTTGTTTTCACGACCCCTTGCAATGCATTCCCGGACCATTAGGGGTCCCTGGTTGGGAATCACTGCTGGAAAATGTCCCACCCTAGCTCATGATCTCCTCATCTCCCTTAGAATAATCATTATCCTAAGTTTTGCTGTAAAATGAAGTCTCATTTTGTCACTTAAGGGCGGCGGAGAGTGATTTTGTAGGTGTGTAGTTATGCCTTTCTCTCCCCAATGTAAAATGAACTTTGAATAGAACTATGTGATGTTCTATAATAAACCCGTTAGACTGTTACAAATAATAGTATTTATATTATAATTGAAATGAGTGTTTCTGAGGTTATTATTTGCACTACCTTTTATATATGAATATTGGTAACATACAAATGCCCACCACATTTTGCAGATTCATGTTTCTTTCTATTTCATTGCTATGAAATAAGGTCTTATGTTGTGTTTAAATCAGCCGGATGGGTCCTCCGGAGGACTTGGTCTACCTGGACTGGGTCTTTCAAAGAGTTTGGCTATAGATTAGAACAGGTCAAGCCTTCTCCGGCTATCACAGCACTTCACTCAGCGTAAGCTCTGTCTCCTAGCAACCATGACACATGATGCACAAAGCAGGCAAAGAATGGAGGCGGAACTTCCTAAGACTGTTCTGTGTGCTTTCATTTTTTTAAGAGCTTCAGCCCCATACTGTCATCACAGATATCAGATTTATAGTCCCCACACTGTACAGATGTTGGAATCTGAGCTTAAATGTCAGCACAACCCATTTTATAGGGACAGATAAAACCTTTCAATAAATCAAAAACTACCTGCAACATATCTGACTCACTAACCATATAAATGAACTATTTTCATTTATGTAACACAATATTATTCACTAATTTGTATTACATTGAACTGCATTTACAATGTTCACCACTGTTTGGAGCCATTTCCCTTTTACCTCTGAGCACGGAGCAGCCAGCTAGCTTCGAATCCCAATCAATCATGGGATACCCTAGACTTCAGAGGAAGCAGCCCCAGATTAGAACACACTGTTAGACTTTCTCGTAAAATAAAATTAAAATACATCAGAGGTTGTTGTTGCAACATCAAAAATGTTAAACAGCTGAAGCTGTGTTTGTACTTTTGCAAAGTAGCACATACAGTAATTCAATGCAGTTAAGACATTTGCATATAATTCTATATTTTTTGCAAGTAATTTTTGGTACTGATGTCAAATATGGAGAACACAACATCTAGCTGGACTTTGTTTTGCAAAATGTCTGCTACAAAGTGAACCATTACCTAACGATTTTTACTCTAACCCAATTTTCTCTTATCTTTACTTTCTTGTTCTTTGTACATTGTCATTTTGCTGAGCATGCTGCTCTGCACTGAAATCTTGTATTTGTTCCAAATTTAATAGGTAAAAAAAAAATCCACTGTCTGTGTTGTGTGACGGAGTATCTTGTTACTGTTTGACTCTTTCACCTTTACACAACCAGTAATACCTTTTAATGTTGAACATGTGAATCTGTGAGGTTTTTGATGATACATTTTTTTACAGTGCTACCCTTATCGACACTGAATTTCAATGTGAAAGTCAATTGAGGAATTAACTCTATATTAATATTAGTGTTGCACCGATACCGATACCAGTATCGGACGGGGCCCCGATACTGCCCTAAAATGGTGTTATCGGTATCGGCGAGTACCAACAAATAGGGCACCGATACCAATCTGAGAGCCATAAGTTTATTCAACTATTGTCACCCATTCCTGGTAGGCAATAAAAAGTTCTACTGGATTCACTTTGTATTAGATTTTTTCCTGCTTCACAAAGGTAGGCAGCAGCTTGAAAAAGCCATGATGGCAATTATTTAACATTATTATGGTATCGGCCGATACTGCACAGCTGGGTATCGGTATCGGGACCAAAAAATGGCATCGGCGCAACACTAATTTATATGCCGCATTTGACTAATCTTGACTAATGACTAATTTTGATAAATATAAGTAGCTTAGAAAGTATAAAAGTAGGTGTCTGATGGCTAGATTCTGATTGAATCGCATTCCAAAGGTGTTAAGATCTATTGGTATTTTAAAGCCCAAATCTATAAAATGTATCCTTTTTTTTTTTTTTTTTTTTAGTGTCCTGTCTGGCAATGTGGAAATAAGAATAATTGTCTTGAAATGACAATTGAAATTGATACAACAGCACATTCCTGCTTCAATCCAGTCATACTCAGTAAAGTAAACTATATGAATACTTTAATTTGGTCAAAATAAAAAGTTTGGGAAGAATTCGGATTGTGGAAAAATGTAACAATAATAAATATTCACAATATTAAAAAAATGAATTCCTAATAAACATTCAAGTTTGGACAAAACCGGTGTAACCCCCTTATTGTGACCAATGGAGCACACATTTATTGTAGTATTTGACGAAGTACACTTTTGAGAACTATTTCTGTTTAAACAACCTTGACAAAGTTGATTAATGATAATACATATGCTTTACTGTTATATTAGACTTTATTTATGTCAAGTAAGTTTTTACTAAGTTTTCATGCATTTAAATTCTAAATTCAAGCAAAACTTTTATGTAACCTAAAAGTATCACCAGGAAATTTAGCAAATCCATTGACCCATGACAGTGACGACTTGAGTGAATCACAACCTGTATAACTCCAAAGACAATTCTTCTGATAACAGATGAGAGTTCAGTCAGAGGATGAAGATCACACAGGCGAAGGCTGCAAAAGCATAGAGAAAGGATGCCCCCAGCAAACGAGTGAGAGATCTCCTCAGAGCTGGATCCTGGTCATTCTTTCACTAACAGGTGCTCTATGATTAAAAAAAGGAAAAGAAAGTTAATTTCATTTTGATGCAGACAAATAATAATATTTTGAATACAATACACTTCTATTCATTTCTGTATGTGCAGTAAGAAACATACCCTATACTGCCATAACTGTGATTTCATACACCTTTAAACTCAATTGACATCTCATTTTTAAGCAAAGGGGTTTAAAAAATTATACCAGCCCACAACCTTTGCTGCCGAAACTCTTGGCTTAAGTACAAGATTTATGAGTATTTGTATTGAGATTTTTATTTTAAAGGTACTGAAGTTGGATAGATTTTCGCTATATTTAATTTCAAAGGTGTGGCAAGCTCAGGTCACGATTATGCAAAGGTTGAAGTATGAAATTGTTTAAGTATTGGTATGCTTATGTCCTAATGGTTACTTTCATTAAGGCCTGAAATACAGACTCAAATACTAAGGTACTTAAAGTCAGCTACTGTAAGTGGCATCTGGTAAATGGGTCCTCTGACTTGGAGCTTAACACTACTTCATTGTATTATTTACATTGCACAAAGTGAAGTCTACACTTGAATGCAGATGCTTAGTTACAGAAATCCTTCCATGAAGCTTTTCATCACTGTGGTGGATGATCCTCCCACCACCACATCGTGTTAGTATTTTCTTTTCTTGCTTTATATTACAATTTATGTTTAAGTTGGTTATTTCTTTTAGACAGGTATTATCTAATGGGTGCACACTTTAGTTAATGTCTGTCTGAATGGTTTATTTACACTTGTTCTTTTGTTTGAGGTGCTGCTGATGCAAACCAGCTGGAGGAGGAAACCTGGAGCGTACCATCTTTGAAAGACTGACGGGGGAGACTTGTTTCAAGTTGTTTTCAATTAGTTTGTCACTTAAATATTTACTTATAGTTTCTGCTAAGTAAAAGTTAGTTTTGCTTTATTTGTTTCATAGAATGGTTAATTTTGTATTTATTGTTTTTTTTGTTATATTGTGCCTCCCTCATGTGGTAGACTTGAGTTACTCCATCCCTTTTTAAGCAGCCTTTAGTTCTTTGTTTGCAGGTCACTTTTTTGTTTGAGATGGATCCTCAGTTGACCTCAGTTAAGTTGGGCTCAGATTCATGTTATTTTGTATTTAAGTTATTTTGTATTGCTTTTGAGCCTTTGTTAACCATTTTTACACAATTAAATGAAAGCCCTTTTTCAAATTTTGAACACATTTTGTCCTTATTTAAGTTTGGTCCCTCACAATCACCATGAATCTCTGACCGGTTCTGTTTAACAGATGAGCAGTTTGGGAAACCTTATGAACCTTAACACTCCACCCATGCCTTCAAAGGTTTCAGGGGAGAGCATGTGTTCATCTCCTTTCAAGCGCACAGGGTGAGTCTGAGTCAGTGACTGAGTCTGAGCACGGGTGCTCCATGTTTTCATAGCACTGACTCAAGGTGCTCAAACAGACTATGCTCAAAAGAATTGTTACTGTTTCAGACAGTACATGATTTGCTGTCATTCAAAATCTCTATGTTTTAATAGCCCCGATAACTGACTACAGTAAGAAAATCATTTCATCATCAATCAATTTTGGGAAGGGGCGAAAATACTGGTTAGCTGATTGGCCTATGTTGGTGATAGACTGGCCAAATAAACCAATCAGATCAACGAAGCATATGACGTATTAACAGAGCGACGACGAAGAGGAGCCAATTGATAGATCAAACTCTTGCCGAAACCAGTCGGGAGAAGAGCAAAAACATCTTTTCCTCTGAGAAAAGCCTCCAGAGCAGTGTTTTGCTCTTCTTTCAGTGAAGAAATACTCTGTAATTCCGATAAAACTTGCTCGATAGCCACGCTAACGCTAGTTTCAACGGCTGAAGCCACCATGTTCTTTAGACTGAACTGTCGCGCATCTCGTTGCGTCACACCTCAACCCGCCTCAAAGCCAACGCTGATTGGACGTTCGTTTGGTGAACGGCTCCAAATTTTCTTTAACGGAGAGTCTCCAGACTGATTAGCGAGTGAAATCTTGAAAGCTCGCGAGATCAGGATGGTCTCACGATGCTAAGGAATCATAAGGTCAAGAGAAAATCAAACATGTTTGAAATTCAGTTGGACCTCGTGAACGAAATCCTGCTCTTGTAGCAGAGCTACCATCCAATCTACCAGAACCTCACGCACTGCACATGTGCAAAAAACTGAGTTGTTCTTCGTCTTCCTGACTGACAAGTCTATACAGCCCCATCTCTCGGCTTTGAGTCCGATGTGTGGTTTTTGGAAGTACAGTGTTAGCAGTTAGATTGCATCAGAGCGTCGGGCGTGCAGTGTAAGAACTTACATTAGCTGCGAACTTTTAGGGTTTCGTCATACAGTGTGAGCTGTAGCTGAGTACGACCATTGAAAATATGATATAGTGTATGCTAGGGTTGGGAATTGAAAAGATTTTCACGATTCCGATTCCCTTTTCGATTCTATGAAACGATTCGATTCTTTATCGATTCTTTTTTCGATTCCAATTTGGGGGGAAAAGGAGAACAAACAGTTTGATTATCAGAATCAACTTTGTTTACTTAACTATTGCACAATCTTACAAACTCAACAAGATCAAGATGTCCACAGGAAATGTGAAACTGGAGTAACATCTGTGTTTAAATGAAAAATTAATACAAGAACAAACTTAATAACCAACAATGTCTAATAACAAATGATGGGATAATAACCTACTTTAAATAACAAAAAATACTAATTATAAAACAGTAGTAGGGAAAATTAACAGTTCTTTGCAGAAAGATGAGCATATCTGCTTTTTCTGGAAGGATACGGGATCTTTCAGGGCTTATGGTGTCTCCAGCCGTGGAGAACACCCTCTCAGATGGGGTGGAGGAAGCCTGCACACAGAGGTAGTTTTCAGCCAGTCCAGATAGCAAGGGCAGCGTATCTTGCTTGCTCCACCACCACAGTGTGGCGCTATCCCTGCAGGGGATGCAGGGCAAGCTTTTATAGAGCTGGATTTCCTGATCTACCCTCTGGGCTAAGGAAAGACGGGGCTTTGATTCACAAAGTGACCGCAGCTCGTTGTCTTCCTCCTCGAATAGTTCTTCCAACTTGCGTAAGTTGCGTAACTTACGTAAACAACGTGATGTAAGTCGTGCTCCCCAGAGCCGGCGCTCTGGGCTCTGGTGCTGCGGGAATCGAAAAAAGAATCATTCAGCGAGCTGCCAAACGATGCCATGGAATCGGAAAATACGGAACCGGTTCTTAACAGGAACCGGTTTTCGATTCCCATCCCTAGTGTATGCCCAGCGTTAAGCAGTGAGACAATGTCACAGCCAGACTCATTTCAAAGGAGGTAACCAATATGAAGTTGCTCATTCTTAAGGAGAATGAGCAACTTTAGGAGGCAGTCTTTAAGTCTACTGGATATTATACCGGTGTGTTACTAAAGTTATGAAAACACTCCAATGTAATGGTTTGGATGGGGCGGTGAAATATATACAAATGGAATATTTAAACAATATACAATAGCAAATGAATGAAATATAAAGTTTCTGATGAATTTCTATAGGTAATTAATGAAAAAAAAAAACGTCTTAGCATTGTATTTATTTTGCATATATTTTTAAGGCTGCTGTGTGGTTAAACCTCATACAAAAGTCGGTGGAAAAATCTGAACACAACACAAAATACACACACAAACACAGGCTCTTGTTTGTTTCGCTGTAGACCGTCTGCTGTCTGGGTCACAGAGCACATAATGAGTTGCATCCACAATTGCTTTAATTGCACCTGTGTTTTTGTGAATGCTGGGTGTGTGTAAGTGTGTTGTGTGTGAACAGGTGGGCTAGACCAAGCAGCGTCATAGGAGTCAGGACATTTCATACGCATAATAAAAAGGATGTTTGATGCTGATAGGTGTGCTTCTCTGGTTGTTGTATAAGATCCAATGTTTGTATGTTTTTACTGGAATTTTGTTTGTTGTGTTCTTTACATACAGGTGTCTATGTTCTCAGCTGTCTTTTTTTGTATGTGTGTGTATTTTATACATTGTGGGGACCATTTTCTGGAAAATAACACATTGAGAGGACTGGCTGCTCCAGGCATTTGTCCCCATGGGTACTATTGCTGTTTTAGGTTGAGGTGTAAAGTTGATGAAAAAAGGTGTGAATTTAATTTAGGATAGGGTTAGGTATGTACCCATAACATCAAGATAAGGGTCACAGTTTGGCTGTAGAAATGGGTTAGAAATGAATGGAAGTCAATGGAGTTTCCACAATCATAGAGAAATTTGATTGTGTGTGTATGCGAGTAGTGTGTCTGTCTAACCTGCAGCTGTTGGGCTGCCATAGCTTCTACCTGGACTTTCGTGCCCTGCCCTCAGGGTTGTGTGTAGAGTATGAGGACAGGAGGTTTTGCTTAGCCCTGGAGGCACCCATAAGGCGGGCACATAATTCACTAAAACACATGCACCCAAAGGTTCCATTAAAAACTTTGGTGTTTATTCAGGCTCTCACAACTTGAATTGTTTTTTTTTTTTTTATATGAAACCTACATTTTTTTTTTATTCATCTCAACTAATTCTCAAAACTGCATCTACAACATTTATGTTTAGTACTTGGAAACGTGGAATCCATTTACTAATTACTCTTAAAGAAAGATACCACATTAATGAATATTGTGAAAAGAGATCACAGGGAAGAAAGAATAATCTTTTTGGATCGTAGGTCTGTAGAATCCACATTAGACTTTTAAAGCACAGACATACTGAGTCTTGGCTTCATTCATCTGCACCAGACAATGTTGTTAGCCTGGAGGGGCTCACATTAGAATAGAATAGAATAGAATTCAACTTTATTGTCATTCCACTGTCACAAGTACAGAGCAGCGAAATGAATTCTCTGCATTAAACCCATCCCCTTGGGGAGCAGTGGGCTGCCATTGTGCGGCGCCCGGGGAGCAGTGAGGGGTTAAGGGTCTTGCTCAGGGACCCAGAGTGGCAGTCTGTGGGAGTGGGGGATTATACCCCCCGCATTATATCACACCAACCGAAACAGCGAACTCAGCTGTAAGACCAGGGGAGGTAGACTGTGTGATTACATTAACAAAAAATGGTGTAAAAATTCTAGAACGGTCGCCAGCTTTTGCTCTCCAGACATCGAGTTTCTGAGTGTTAACTGGAGACCGTTCTATCTGCCCAGAGAATTCCCTGTGATAAGCATCACTGCTGTCTCACCTGGACTGTAAACATCACCTCACTAGTCAAAAGGGCAGAGAAGCACTTGTACTTCCTGAAGAGGACGAGAAGAGCCCACATGCCCCCACTCATCCTCACATCCTTCTACAGAAGCACCATAGAAAGCGTTCTGACCAGCTGTCTCATGCTACGTTCACATCGGACGCAGCAAGAGCAGCAAAATCGCGTCTGCTGCTTCATTTTTGCTGCTTGTACCAGTTAGTTCTGATGTGCGGCTGAAGCAGCTTTGCTGCTGTGGCTGTGCGGTGCAAAAGTGGGTCTGACGCGCGTTGGGCGGAGCTTCACTATCCTTTCTCTGCCTTGCAGCTATATTTGCTGTGATCAGTGGGAATAAAGTAGTTTTAATATGTTTTTAAGTGAGAAAGTCCACCTGAAAACTTAATCAGTGCAGTCAGTTCATCCAGATTACCATCCTGCCTTCCATTATTATTTCTGTCGGAGCCGCTCAGACCCCCACATACCAGCGGTGCGCTGTCAGTAGGAATCCCATTCAACAGCAGCCTCTGGCCGGGTCTCCTCCTCGCGTTTCACCGCGGCGGCTGGTAGGTGTTTTTCATCTAAATAATCCAAACTGCAGGCACCAGGATAATAAAAGTGAACATATTCTGCCGGCAGATTTCTGCATTTTAAGTTAATTTAGGCGTTAATAAACTGTTTCAGAGGAGTGATCAAAGCGCTCTGTATCATCAGCGATGTGTCTCTCTCCCTTCCAGCTCCCAGATCTCTAGCAGCAGCGCGTTTGCTGCGCGTCAGATGCTTAAACGCTCCCGACACGCTGCTTCAGCTGCTCAGACGCGCTGCGCCTGCTGCTCAAAACGCGCTGCGGGACCTTTTGCTGCGCCCTGACGCTCGTCAACCATTGACTTTGCATGTAAACTTGCTGCTTCTGCTGCGCCTGCTGTGTCCAATGTGAACATAGCATTAGTGTGTGGTCTGGAGGCTGCAGAGCCTCAGACTGGAAGAAAGTGAGAGGAGTGGTGAGAAGAGCAGAGAAGATCATCGGGGCTCCTCTTGCCTATATTAAAGACATTTCACCCCAACGCCCGTAACATCATGAATGACCCCTCACACCCACACCATGGACCGTTCTCCCTGCTGCCCTCTGGGAAGACACTTGCAGGTCCAGCAGGTTCTGCAAAGCTTTTTATCCACTACAATGAGACAGCTGAACTAGTGAGAAAACTCAAAATCATGTAACAGACTCTGGATCACACTAACACCAAACCAAAATACTGCATATTTGCACCATATATATTTATTGCTCTGAACTTCCATTTCAATGCGTTTTTCCACCATGTTTTTTTCTCCCACACTGTTTAATTTGATCACCGATGCACTTTGATGCAATTTTTCAGAACAATGGAAATATTCTGCAAGCTGTACAGAACGAAAATTCGTTTTGTATACATTCTGTTTATACAAAATGACAATAAATTTGTCCAAGTCACAACATAAACAGCCTTTACTTTTTCAGTGAGGGTTAGGCTTTTTTTAAATTTGGACTGAGTTGAAATAATCTAATATCAATATATATGAAAATATACTTGTAGTTATTAATATGACATTTCAATATTAATTACAGTCTTTGATTAAATTTTTTACTGACTGATGTAGCAAGTTTGTAGCATGTATTTTTATGTTCTGTTTTTTCAAAACAAATATTTTTCAAATGTTTGACGAGATTTAGAAACTTGACAAAATAACGGTCATAAATTTGTTCAGGATTCTATTCTGGGCATTCTTGGCAGTCTTTTTTGACATTTTTATTTTGATGATTTCAATGTTGAACTTATATCCTATCAACCAGAATTAATAAATACATTGTGATCTAAGTTTTGGCCATATTGTACAGCCCTATTTGGACCTAAAAAGAAAAGACACAATTGGAAATTGCTGTAGGACAAGAAGATAATTGTTTTAATCTATTTTGCATACAAGTGTGAAAGGTGGGCTGCGTACACCCAATTATGTTTATTTTTTTGTAATTATGAGGGTTAAAGCATGAAAAATAACAGAGTAAATAAACTGGAATCTGGAATATTCTTGAATTCAAGAAATCTTTTTTTTTTTTTTTAGGGAGATTTGGTTGTCTTTTTCTGTATGATGATGACTTACGCTGCTATTATCCAAGAGGCGGCGAGGTAAGCTTCTCTGTTGATTTGCTTCATCTAGTGTTGCTCCAACTGCTTGGCTGACAACTGGCCAAACACATACCTATAGTTCAGGTGGAAAAACAGAGAAAGCGAGAAACATACTTAGTAAGCGCAAAATAAAAAAAGGAAATAAATACTATGGGTACATAAAACAAGTAAATAGGAACATCAAAAATTATGGATCTGTGAATGTGTTGGTCATTTTTACAAGTGTAAAAACACTGAAGGGGACAGAAGCTTTAAAATAAAAAACTAGATGACAGGCAAGTTTAACAAAAAAAAAATGCTGCTCAGTCTGTGCAACTTTGACTGCAGATTTAAATAAATACAGACCTTATAAACTGACAGTTCTCGACATCCAGAGGTGATATTGGGCACAGACAAAAAGCAAATGCATATATACGTAGTTCACTTATGCATTACCCAGACAGATCCCTGAATAGCCCGCTTCTTTTTAAAATGTATTATTATACAAACTTTTATGATTCTTCTGGAACCAAGAATCAATCAGGACCAGAATCGCTCAAATTCAAACAAATACCCAATCCTATCCACTGCTGGCTGTCCTACTCTACTGCTGATTCTGCAGCACTTCTATGTTTATTTGAAATTATGATAGAAATTGACCTCAACGATGGGCTCTGTTTTCAAAACCTGAAACCTATAAACTACTTCCTACAGATTTGACCTCTGGCAACAGGCAAGAGGCTGAGGTGGTAACTCTGTTTCATGGATCGCCCACTCTTTATTGACATTTCCAGCCCTACATCATATAGCATTGACCAAAACAAATAGGGTAAAAGTGAAATGCCATGGAAGAATAAAATTGATAAAAACATTAAAACATACACCTAAATTTGATGAATAAAAAAAAACCATATAAAACGGTTAATCAAAAAGATATAAATATATATATATTTAATTACAAATATTATATACATTCCTTCTAGTTAATCTTTTAACTTCAGATATCTAACTATTTCTAGTATTTTTATGGGTATTTAATTGTGATCAGAATCAGTGCAGGAGGTGGGGAAAAGGATCCTGACTAAATTAACATCTCTGTTGGATAATGTCTCCCACTCCATGCATGAAGCTGGTGCTGAACTGGACAGCTCCTTCAGTGACAGACTGCTGCACCTTAAATGCACCGGGGAAAGTTATCAAAGATCTTTCCTCCCAGCAGCTGTAAGACTTTATAACCATCACTGTTCCAAACAACCTCATTAAGTTGTTACATTCATGCTGATTTTTGCAAAACTTCTGTCTCAGTTAAATAACATCCTGCTGTCATTTTGTAGATCACTGGTGTTGCTGCTATTTTTCACATATCCATTACTGTAAAAAATTCCACAGCTGTTTATTGATTATTTTTTCTGCAGGTACAGAGAAATTATATTGTAAAAACACTCTACAGTACAGTAAATATTTGTTATTTTCTCAACTCTATTACCTATTCTGTTATTTTTATACACTTTCTAAGGTCCACATTGTCTGACCATGTCTGCTAAAACATTTTGCCGCTGTAACACCACAATTTCCCCAAGGAGGACAATAAAGGGATTTTCTATTCTCTTTCTGTTCTAATAAAATAAACTAAAGCTGTATAGACTGAGGAGTTTGATGAATATGAAAGATAAAAAGGTGGGAGACAAAAGTGAAAAGAGAGATAAGACATTAACCGTGAAAAGCCAATCATATTAAAGACAACCATGTTTATGTGATTGGTGCTTCCCTTATATTATCTTTTGAAAGGGAATATAGAGAAAAACCAAAGCTTCACTGCCTTCAATCGCATAAGCCGACAAGTGGAGTCCAGTTTCATGGGACTGTATAATGTCTGGTGATTGTGCAAATACATGGAACACTAACCTTTTTCACCATGGTAGACTTTGCTTCTTGCTGTGCACTGCTCCACCCCCTTCTCCTCTTCTCCTCCTCTGCCCATTGAGTATCTGCCTTTTTGCCACTCTTCTCCTCTCTATCAGGCTTTCTCATCACTAAGCAGTTAATTTTGGGATTAATACGCGTGGCGGCAGTGGCTGGGTTTTTTGAGGGATTTGTGGCAGAGCTGGAGACACTTATCTTGGTCATTATGGTGCCCATATTGGATTCAAGCGTTTTAGTATCTCCCAAACATTCTGTGGTGAAGGAGTCTATCAGAGCAACACGCATCCAAGGATTAAGATAAGAAGAGCCCTCATTACAACTTCTCTCCTCCTGCGGCATGCCGACATTCGCAGCAGTGAAGACTCTTCCTGCAACACCATCAGAGGACAGGTACAGGTCTTCCCCGAGCTTTTCTTCTTTTGCAATCGTTGAAACAGGCTCAGGAGAAGAAAGGTTGTCACCTGAAAAACTCGAGTTGCCTTTCAAGAGCAAAGAGTTGGAAAATGATCTGTTATAAGGTTCTGAAACAGGAGGACAGATCTTCTCTGTTTTCTTTGTGCAGCCATAGTCTTGTTTGGTCAAAGACGAGTCAGTCAGCCTGTTGTCCCCCTCTGAATTTGGCTCTATTTGGGACAAACATATTGGGTTTTCAGTCAACTCATAGCCACTATCCGAAGAGGTATCCAAACACACTGTATGCTGGAATGGTAAAGATTTATTTTTCATCAAAATGCTGTAGCAAAGAGGAGGGCCTAGATAAACTTCCTCTGTACAAGCTTTAAACAGCATCTCCTCATTCCTAAGGTCAGGACTGCTAGGTACGGAAAAAGATGGGCTATTAGACTGCTCTGCTTGGCTTTCACCAGGGCCACTGCAAGTTTCACCGTCAAAACACTTTAAATCCAATAGGCCAACATTGTTCCTAGGTGTCAAATAAGGTGAAGAGGATTTGGTCAAGAGAGCGGATTGGATTGAATTTGCTGGCTGTGTGGTGCTGAGTTTGGGTCTTAGATTGTTTAGGTCTTGTGTCAATTTGAAACAGGATTCGAGGCTGTAGGGCACAGGAGTCAAGCTCGTCTCTTCACCACACTGGCTGACCTCACCGCAGTCGCTGTCATGGGAGGAGAGTGACAGGTAGGAGTAGAAGTCTCCATTCCGAAGATGGAGAGGCCTGTGGCATTGCTGAAGCACCTGAAGGGAGAAAATGAACACTTTTGGTGCTTTTTGCATAGGTTTTTAAGCAGAAGATCTAAATTAATAATAACCAATCCTAATTGTCCCTACGATGTATACAGACAAACATGACGATGTTGTGTTGCTTTAATAAAAAACTAATCTGTCAAAAAAAATTCCAGGCAAAAATTACTATGCAGATAAAACTTTTATTTTCTGTTTTGTAATTTCATAGATCTAACACACCATAAAATCCATACTTAAATAGTTTTCGCCTGGTTTCTTTTTTACTTTAAAAAATGAGGACTGAATTTTAATGAACTTTTAGATTGCTGGAGAAATTAATAATTATGCCTTCAAAGTTCTTAACTGTGATGCGATTTATTGAAATTCTTCAGATGAATAAACAAAGGAAGAGAGATAACCTTCCTTTGCATTCATTGTTCCTTGAAGTGCACAGAACATGAGGTCAATAAGGACAGCTTCAGGTTCATGTTAATCTATTTCTGATGGTTTTGTACATTTGTCATTCAACAATTTACAAAGCTATAGAGGAAATAGCTACATTGACATATTGTGTAGAATTAAAAATCTACCTTGTCTCGGATGTGTGTTAATGATGTGGAGGATTGGTCTTTTATAGAGCCAGTGGTCTCCCTCGGGTTTTCTCCATCTGACTTATTCTTTTTGTTTTTCAGTGCAATAGAGGCCTTGTCAATAATCTCAGTTACAAAGTGATGAGCATTCTCCCCTTTGCATTCATTTCTGCTTTGTGGATGGGTTGACAAGACAGAAGGACTACAGCAGGACAAATGTGATTCATTTCCCTTTTTCAAAGTCAGCGATGAATCTTTAGCTCTGACTTCCCTCCTTGTCTCCTCTGTCACCAGTGATGAGAACTTAAACTTCTCTTGAATGGTGATGGCTTTACGTCCAGCATTCGAGAGGCTTTTGTCTATTGAACTATGAGATCTTCCGTCGGCTGTAGGCTGAAAAGGAGGTGAAGGAAGGGAGGTGCTATGGCAGGGGAGCTCCCCCCTCAACTCACCCACCAAACAGGAAGCATGCTTAGAAGAGAGGGGGTGGTGATCCCTGGTAGGGGACGAACAAATATATCTTGTTAAACTTGAATCATTTTCAGCTCTCAAGTCGCCACCATCTTGGACTGGCTCTTCTGATTTGGTATTCATATATAACTCCTTTACAGTATGTCTTTTCTTAGTGAACAAGCCGGATTCTTCTTGGAGAAGGTCATCATCTTCATCTTTTACATGTAAACAGTTGTGGTCTATATTTCCGTTCTCCACGTCATCTGCAAACTGGCTGATATAGCTTTTTCTCACATTTACTTTGTTCTTGTGTGCTTTTCTACTTGTATTGTTCCCATCCTGACTATTGGTTTCTGTTAATTGTGAACGTGAACATGTGAAAGTTGAGGATGGAGAGCTTCCGCACTGCAACTCATCTAAAAGTCCTGCCTCTACTTTGACTGAGGAGGAAGCAAAGGTGCAGGGAGAGTGTATCCACCTCTGTAACTCTGTCTTCATATACTCAAGCCCTAGTTCATAGGATGTGTCCATGTCATCTTCATCATTGTCCTCCTCATCCTCATTGCCGGTAAATACGCCATTTACCCTCTTGTCACAGCCATCCTGTTCCTTCCGAACACCAAGTTCCTCTTCAGAAAGTGTCAGTGTGGAGGAAGAAAGCAGATCACTGTCATCTTCATCTGTGCCTGCTGAAGTGCATGAGATGTTTACCACCATGCTTAAACTCGCAGCATCAGACTCATCTACACCTTTACCACCCCTTTTGCTGTTGTTGCAATGTTTCATACGAGAACTGGACGTGACACTAGCTGCCATGCTTGGATCTAGAAAACGGTGATACTGATTTCTGAGTCTGACAAAGTCCTCAGATTCCAGAGATGAGTCTTTTGTGCTACTCACTTCATTAAGTGATACTTTTGATAAAGTCTCATTCATCAGCATTCGCTCATCTTTCCATGAAGTGCTTAAGATTCCAGAGAGTGGGGTGTTTTGGCAACCCAAAGAGGGGGAAGTAGGTAACTGGTTGTTTTGTGGGGTGCAGCTTTGAATTGACATGTCAGAGACGCTGCGTGTCATTTTCCCTACCAGAGGATTCTGAATATCCTCCAAACGTTTCAGGAGGTCAAGTGTTTTTTGGCTAAGATCCCCAGATGTCTCAGTTACAATATGTATGTCTCCTCTTGATCCAGCCTTATTATTATGTTTCTCCTGTCCTTGGTTCAGCAGACTGGGACTCGTGACATTGCCTGCCACCACCTTGTCAGGACTATTGCACTGATTAAGGAAACTTTCCAAAGATGTGCTTTGATGGAGACGTTCTTTAGACGGGAATAGTTCAATACCCAGAGTCAGCAGAGACTCAAAAGAAGAGCTCTGAGACAAAACTGGACTTAATATCCCGTTGATTGATTGGGGCGTCGCAAAACTATTATAATGGTAACTATCAAACTCTGACTTGTCACCTGAGGTCATGAAAATCTTGAAGGAGCCATCAAGTTCTTTTACATCAAGGTCAGAGTCCGAATTTGCAGGGGCCAGAATTCCCTGTCCATTAATTACTATTTCAACAGCCTCCCCTTCTACATCTTTGCACCCCTTCTTTTCCTCCTCTTGCCTGTTTCCTTGGGGTTCCCATCTCACCTCTTTCATTTTCCATTCCTCCAAATTGTTAGAAATTCCCATCTTGCTTCTTTTATAACTATAATGTTCTTGATTTTCATCAACCTTCCCCAGGTCTCTTTTTTCTTGTTTTTCTACATCCTTATCCAGTTTTGTCCCTTGTATTCCAGAGTGTGTTGATGTCTCTGAATCTCCATTGTCACTTACAATCCCACTCTCGCAATCCGATCCTAGAATATTTTCTGACTTCTCACTTCTTCTGCCACTCTCACTTTCATTATTCCAAACTTCACTGACCCCTTTTTGTTGCTGGCTATTCTTCATCAAACCTCCCAAGAGGTCTGGAAGTGTTTCATTGGAAGACAACAAAGAATCCTTACTCATACTCTTCAACAAAACATGTTCTTTGTTTGTTAGCGATTCATTTATGTACCTTAGTGTAGAAGTTGGTGAAAATGTAGGTTGATTACATAATTCAATATTGTGGAGGCTGTAAACCTGATATATGTTATTTTTTGGGGGAGAATCAGAGTTAACTCTGTGCTGCACTTCCATTGATGACATCTTCTTTTGCTCTGTTTCTTGGATATCCAATTCAATCTCATTGGACTGAGTGTCTGAGGGCAAATTTGATTGTACAGTTATGGGGAGGTTTGTGGTAAGGTCAGGTTGTAGTACATCTTGTTGCTCTGCTTCCATGACGGTCATATCTATTTCATCCCATTCCCACGAGTCATCTGGTGCCCCTGCCACAGAGTCCAGTGATACTGGGGTAATCTTGTTGAGCTCCACTAAGCCTTTTTCCAGAATGTTTCCATTAACCTGCAGAACAAGAAAACAAAATGTAAACACAATTTCAATGGTGATTTAGCAAAAATGTATTCAAGTAAAGTAGCACACAAAGGACTCAATTGTGATTTCCTTGCACGCTAGAGGATAAGTGACAAATGAAAATCTATATTTTCCATTTTTATCTGGCTTTGATTTGTAAGTAATATTTTATATCCCAGAAAGCTCCAGCAAAAAATTTTTTAAATGTTGTATTTGCAGTAAGTGCAGATGTGTGTTCTTTCAAAATCAGACCTATTTGTGTTCAGAAACGCCCTATTATCTATACAGGAGACCAGCTACTCGGAATACGTGACTTTGCGCAGCAGCCATGCTCTTCACCACGCTGCGAGACCAGACATCACGGCAGGAATAAGGAGAAAACAGAGAGGATACAGGGTTGGCAGGACGAAGCGGAGGAAAAGATATTTATCAACGGTTGTCATGGGAAATTTAAGACCGTTTGATAACATGACCGAGGAGCTTGCAGCTTTAACACGCTTCCAGGGCAGGTACAGATACACTAGTATCATGTGCCTCACAGAGACATGAATAGATGGACTTTTCCCAGATGCAGTGGATTCTCTGGGTGGCTTTAAACTCATCTGTGCATAGCAGAGAGTGGAAAAAGAGAGGACGGGGACTGGCGATGTTTGTGAGTGAGAGATGGTGCAACGCGGCTCATGTTTACATGAGGTGGAGCTACTCGAGGTGGGCGTGAGACCCTACTATCTTCTACAAGAATTTGGGAGCCTAATCGCACTCTTAGTACACATCTCCCCCCCTCCGGGGAAGTCACACCTGCGTTCAAGTGTATACACGGCACAGTGACCAAGCTACAGACACAGCACAACCGCTCTTCCCTGCTTACATCTGGAGACTTCAATTAGTGTTGCGCCGATGCCATTTTGTGGCCCCGATACCCGATACCTGGCTGTGCAGTATCGGCCAATACCGATACCATAATAATGTAAAATTATTGCCATCATGGCTTTGTCAAGCTGCTGCCTACCTTTGTGAAGCAGGAAAAAATCTAATACAAAGTGAATCCAGTAGAACTTTTTATTGCCTACCAGGAATGGGTGACAATAGTTGAATAAATATATATACGTATAATCGGTGCCCTATTTGTTGGTACTCGCCAATACCAATACCACCATTTTAGGGCAGTATCGGGGCCCCGTCCGATACTGGTATCGGTATCGGTGCAACACTAACTTCAATCAAGCCTCCCTCCGTTCCACCCTCCCTATGCTGACCCAGTACATCACGTGGAAAACAAGGGTAAAAAAAAACTGGACCTTTTTATGTCAATGTCAGATACTGTATGCCTACACCTCTGCCCCCTTCCCCTCACTAGGACGCTCGGTTCATAATCTTGTCTACCTGCTCCCCCACAACATACCAGTGGTGAGCAGGACAATATTGCAGAAGAGGTCAGTAAAAGTTTGGTCAGATGAGACCACTGACAAACTGAGGTATTGTTTCAGAACCACAGACTGGAGCATGTTCCAAAGCTTTCATTGTGATGACATCATCAGCCTGACTGAATGTATCACTGACTACATGACCTTCTGTGTGCAGAGCACTGTGCCCACACGACAGCTATGGAGCTTTCCAAACAACCACCTCTGGATGACCCCTGAGCTGAAAGTCCCTCTGAACCAGAAGAAAATGCCTTTCAACTCAGGGGACAGAGAAAAGCAGTGTAGAGTACAATGAGAGCTCCAATGGCGGATAAGGGTGGCTAAAAAACCCCCCAAAAAAGCAGGTTACCATAGCGGCGCTCCAAAGCAGCGGCCAAGAACAGCTCCTCTTGACAATCTCACAGAATATGCCGCTTAAAACGATACAAACTAGACTTCAAACCCGCATCTATGATCGCCAACGCCTGCTGGAGCTACGGTCACAAAATATTTTAAACACTAACATTTTTGACGATTTAAAAAGCTGCGGACTGCTATGGACAGATCTCAGGAACACAACAGTGGAACATAACTGCCAAAAGACGGAGAAAGCAAGGATGCAGAGGGGGGCTAACTGTGAAGCTAAAAAGAAATCATCACAGACCTCTGCTTCCATCAATCCTGCTCTCCTCCGTTCTCTGGAAAACAAAATGGATAATCTTCGACTGGAACTCTCTTCAAAAAAGGGGATTAGTAACTGCTGCGCCATCATTCTGATTGAGTCATGGCTGCATCCAGCAATACCGGACAATGCTATTACATCGAAGGGGCTAACACTATACCGCGCCGATATGAACAAAGAACTAAGCTGTAAGACTCGGGGTGGTGGGCTCTGTGTTTACATCATCAACAGCTGGTGCAAGAAGGCTAGATCGGTCACCAGCTTCTGCTCTCCAGAACTCGAGTTTCTGACTTTTAACTGCAGATCGTTTTATCTGCCGAGAGAGTTCAGTGTGGTTAGCATCACTGCTGTTTATGTCCCCCCAGTGCTAATGCAAAAGAGGCCATGAAGACTCTATACTCTGAGCTCCAATCTGCACAGAGAGGGTGTTTTCATTATTGCTGGGGATTTTAACCAGGCTAACTTTAAGACTGTTCTCCCTAATTTTTACCAACATGTGGACTTTGTCAGCCTACATCAACAAATGCATTGAGGAAGTCAGCATCAAAAAGAAAAGAAGATCACCACCCGGGCCAACCAACCACACTGGATAAATCGAGAGGTTCAGAAATTGCTAAAAGCACGGAAATAAGCTTTCAACTCTGGTGATAAAGAGGCACTGAGAACAGCGCGTGCCAACTTAAACCGTGCCATCAGATCAGCGAAGCAGAACCACAGCCAGAAGATCCAGGATCTTTTCCACTGCGAAAGTAACACCAGGAGGATGTGGAAAGGCATTCGGATGATGTCGGACTACAACACACCCTCCCCTCCCCGGTAGATGCAGCAAACACTGACTTCCTAAATGAACTGAACAACTTCTTTGGAAGGTTTGAGGCACTAAACAGCACTCCAGCAGTGAAAGCTGCTCCACACCAGGGGGAGGAAACATTAAACCTGGACGTAGCTGAAGTGAGGAAAACTCTGAGGACAAAATGGTGTAATGTAAGTCACAACATCTCTCTTTAGAAGACACTTTAGCACTAAAACAAACACCGTCATTCATTTCGAGGGGAAGTGTGTCTGACTGCTAGGAGTATGAAATGATGGATGTAAAGTATAAATATCAGGGAACTCCAACCTGCTCTCCCAGCTCCCTCTTCAGTCTGTTCTGCCACTGTAGTGCCTGCATCACTATCGCCTCCCACCTTCTCTCCAGGTTGATTGACATCAGCTGCAGGGCCTCTCGGTGCCGCTCTGTTTCGGGGCCTGTTTCCGCCACCAGACTCAACTGTCCAGGATGGGGTGGGGTAGAGGGATTGGGGGGTGGGAGATTGTTGGGTAATTATAAGTTTTTATGTGTATGAATTTAAAAAAGCTTGAATATGAGACTGTCAAATCTTAAAAAAGAAAGATTAATTTGTGAAATTGAGGTAAAATTTTGTTTTTAACAGAGTTTTAAAAGAATCCACAAGATAATCAATGAATCAAGTATACTAATGTTTACTACTTTATCTGTTTTACCTGGTCCTGCTCTTTGCATATTTTTTTTTTTTCCTTTATTCAAACTATTAGTCTTTTAATAATTGTTCTATTTTGCTTACCTGGCTCTGCTGCAACATCTTCTGGCACAGTTTCAGCACAGAAGCCACTCCTCGTCGTCGCATTTGAATCTCTGAGCACAGGGACTGTAGATAAACATCAAGTTAATTATTAAACAAATATTCATTAATAAATATCCGATAATCTCCATTAACAGCACAAATCTACCAATGAATCTCTAATGTAGAATACAGATATGAAAATAGACATTGGAAAATTGATATTGGAGATGACGTGGAAAAGTGATAGAACAGACTTCACTTTGTGTGAAAATTATACCCTTTAGTATTTTCAGCAAGATAATACAATTCTCTTATAGTATAATTGTGGAGAGAGAGAATCTTTTCTGCTGTCATTGTTTTGACTGAGAGCTTTAATTCAATTTCTTTATTGAAGGCTAATAGCAAGAAAAAAATTTGTTTATGACACTGACACCAACGATTTTCTAACATATTGGTAAACATTTTACCGGTGCAATTTTCATGTTAGTTGAGTTGTTTGTTGTAAACGCTTTGAAACGGTTTGCCGGCATCGGTGGGTTTTGAGGTTAAAAGGGAGTTCATCCTCTCCGCTGTCACTAGATGTATTCTTGATGTGAGGCCCAGCTACACGGTCAACACAGAAATGTGAGTAATGTCATGATGGGTTCCTAAAGTTAGTCCAGATGCAGAACACCACTCAGAGGCAGGGTTAAGGTTAACCAATTTATTAACAGGAATGAAATAAAGAGGAACAAACAATTTAACTCAGAGAGGTAAACAGGGTAATCTCGTCTGGGAGGATAGACCAAACAAAGGAGGATCTCACAGCGACTAAACTGGGTTTTCTCAGCTTGGGGGAAAAGATAAACAAAGGAGGATCTCGGTGAAACTCAACAGGGTTTTCTCAGCGTGGGGGGAGATCCAGCGGTCTGATAAATCGGAGACGGAAAACTCTCTACGGGGAGATGTGAGTAGTGAGTTCAAGGACTGAAGGGAAAAAGAACGAGGCTGATGAATGGTTCAGTTATGACTCACATAAAGGGGTTCTTGGTAGATTCTTGGGTCCAGTTTGTGGAGGTATTGTCCAGAGAAGATTGTACTCGTTGGAGGGCGGGCAGGCAGACTAGTGATGGGTCCAGAGGAGCAACGGAGCAGATTGTCACAGGATTTTCCGGAGGTGGGCATGAACGGCTCAGGTGAAGGTTTTCCCTTGCTCAATGAGAGACGAACGATTTCCTTCCAAGGGAGGAGAAGGACCAGGCTTATCCAGCGGATCAGGAGGGTTCCCCAATACTTGCAAACACTCTGGCTTCGAAGTGGTGACAGTCCACTGCTCTTATACTGCTCTGGTAATGACCCAACAAGCCGCAGGTGAGGAGAAGAAACCCGGAAGCCACCCTCCAAGCCAGATGGGGAAAGGGCACCATCTAGTGTTGGAAGGAGGAACCAAAAGCAAAAACACAAAAACAATCCACACAAACAGAACCCTAACAGTACCCCCCCTCAACAACCGCCACCTGGTGGTCCAGAAGAGCCCGAGGGCTGAGACGAACAGACATCAGAGTAGAGGGAGGGGTCGAAAAAAAAGCCCTCCCAGTCCACCAAGAAATGCCAACCCTGTCCACGGCGACGGGCATCCACAATCCGGAGGACAGTGTAGGCTGGGTGACCGTTGAAGTCCAAAGGGGAAAGGGTTTGTCCACTGCGGCACTGGAAAAGCCTCAGAGGGGGCAAAGGACGCCCGCTGAAGGCTTCTGGAGGCTTGGTGCTCCAGCAGAGGGTTCTTGGAGACTTGAAGTGCCCGCTAAGGGCTCTTGGAGACTTGGAGTTCCCGCTAAGGGCTCTTGGAGACTTGGAGTGCACGCTAAGGGGTCTTGGAGACTTGGAGCGCCCGCTAAGGGCTCCTGGAGGCTTGAAAAACCCACTGAGGGTTCTAGGGGAGGAATCTCCACCGAGCGTTAATTCTGAGCCCCTTCTTTTGTGTGCTCGGGGGTCTCTGGACGGCACAGAGCTCGCTCAGGGGTCACCAACAATTGGTCCCCCATCAGGACAAGCTCTGTGCTAGGGGTGGGGTTTAAGTTTAGGACTATGGTATAAAATGAGTTTGGGCTAGGTTTATGGTTTATGGGGAGGTATGTATTGGTGATGGTCAGGCTTAGGGTATGGGTTATGCCATAGAAATTAGTGGGAAATTATTTGAAATCAATTGAAAGTCCCAACAAGGATAGGAACACAACACATGTGTGAAGTGTGTGTTTGCATGTTTGAATATTTGCTACAGATAGGTGCACAAGCATCGATAGATATTTGTGCAAATAAATGCATATTTCTCTGTGTGTTATGGGGAAAAAATGGCACAGCTTTGTCAGGAGCAGGACCAAACACATTCAAGCCTTAAACTATTTATGCTAATCCTGCCTGCTCACTGAAAGGCACTTCTTTTACATTTTCCTTACATTTTCCAATAAATATTAAACACTACGTTCTGTCCCCCAGTTCTCTGCTCACATCCTCTTACTCTGCTGTTTTCTCACATACACTCTACAAAACTTCTGTCCTTGTTTTCTTTAGTTTAGCCTATTTGTGGCTTGGCTGCTTGTTTGAACAGGAGATGGGGATGCAGAATATGGGAGACTGGATCAAGAGGACAAGCCAACTTTGTGCTTCATAGTGTGTGGGTAAGATGGAAAATAGATTTATTCCATATAGGAGGTATGCATTACACTGAAGGAGACTGCTTTAAAACAACTAAATTACTGATTGATACTTGCCCCGCATCAGATGACCAATACAGAGGGAGGTCAGAGATAAACTCAGTTACTGTAGATGAATTCAATTCAGTTCAGTTTATTTATATAGCACCAACTCACAAAGCATGTCATCTCAAGGCACTTTACAGTTCAACCAGATCTTCCAGTCAAATTGATTCAAAGTTTTCTATCTCAGGAAAACCAGTTGATTGCATCGACTCATTCACTGGCCTAACTTTCTGAAGGACTGGGCATGGAGGGCCAGTCCCCACCAATAATTTCCGCTTTTTTCCCCCCTTTCCGCTAATTTACTTCAGCCAACAGTAACTGGGGTTGGGTGCAGCTGTCTGTGTTCAGAGCGTTTTCAGTCCGTGTTTTTTCCTTGCTCTCCCGCTGCTCTCGAATCCTACTTCTCGGTGAAATATCATGGGATATGTCGCTTTGGGACATGATATTATTTGGGGTCACTATTCACTGCGTACAGAGTAGCTACGAGGAGGAGAAGAGATACTGCATATGACAAGCCGTTTTAACAGACAGTCGGTTTCGTCTGACCTACTGTGGCTAGCCGTATGAACATAAATTCGTAACAGCACTCAGTTAATTTTAACCGGCAGATACTCCGATATATGTTAAGTAAAAGTTAGGAGACTGGTTGGTTAAAAAAATCAGAGATGCCACCGAAAAATCCGTTAGTTACACGTACAGACATTTTTCAGCTAAAAATGGCAGCAGATTGTACATTTATGAGTTAAAAAAGCTGGGCTTCTCAGGACCATACTCATTACAGATCAAAATTAACAAATATCTGTTGTTTTCTTATTGAACAGAGAATCAGACTGCAGAGCTTCTAGAGATCCTGAAAATGATTTTGTCTGGCATCATTGTATAGGTAGACAGGTTCATAAATCTGTGTTTAAGCATAGCAGAGACATAATTAGGGAGAGCTGCTGATTTAAAGGTGAAACAGATTTACTGGGATATGCAACATGAAATAAAATATATCTCCAAGTTTACAAGAAAAAAATATGCAATGCTATAATAAAATTCAACATATAATTTTGTCTTTTGTAGCTCAACGAGACTCAGAAATAGCTGTGCAAGCAACCCAGAGTCAGCCGGACTCGCAGGACACAGACTGAAAATTAAAAATATAAGAAACCTGCAAGAATTAAAGCACAAATAATACAAACCAGTGTATAAATGATTTTTGAAATATAAGGTCCAAAATATAGACTTTGGCTGTCAATGACATTTGGGACAAACTTCTAAATTTGATTTTGATGCTTGTGAAGGAGAATGATCACTGATGCAGCTTAAAGGGAAGCCATGCATGGATGGATTGACAGAAGTGAAGTTGTGTCCATACTAGGGATGCACGATATATTGCTGTTGGCATCGGTATCAGCTGTTATTCGTAATTTTTTATACATTAATGTTTTTAAGCCCTTTATAAAATAATGAACTAAAGGCAGGCATCTGTCTATAACTATAAATACCACAAATGTATTGTGGTACTCTTGTGTTCTCAACAATAGCAAAGCATTCAATAAATATATGTTTCTCAGTCATCCTTTAATGTAGTTTAATTTTTTATTTTATTATATAATTTGTGTTGGCCCTCATGCCAGATGGCTGTGTCAAGTCTTTGGTTCAAATTCATTGCTTAGATAAAAAAAAATCAGAAAGCAAGAACCTGACAATTCGTTGACAAAAAAAAAAAAAATAATAATATTACAATAACTTTTGGAAACATCAAGAAACTAAAAACACTAAAAGCATTGTAAATATCTGAAATGTTAATTTCTGTTATTATATTATTTATTAAAAAAGATTATTATAATATTATTTCTTAAAAAAGATAGAGATATGTTTTTTTTTTTTACTATTTATTTGTATGATACAGCTGCAAATAAGTATTCGGCGGCGCCTACAGGCAGCGGCTACAGACAGCTCTCAACAATTCCAGAAAATATGCCGCCTAGAATACAAACTAGGCATCAATCCTATATCTACGACCACCAGTTTTTTCTGGACTTGTAAATACAGCCACTCTTGAGCGTTTAAAAAGCTGCAGAGTGCTTTGGAAGGATGCATGCAGAACAGCGGGCTCATGGATTTAGACCACGGGAGGAGGAGGAAGTGGTGTGCAAAGCGACGAAAAAGGGGCTGTAGTTGAAAAAAACACATTCAGTCTCAACAGGGTTAATCTAGTTAATTAAAGGTTAGATTATATTTAAAATATTACTTTATAGGACAATAATTCTGCAAATTACAGTGTTGTAGTTGAGTTTATTTTCTCATTCTATGAGCCATTTTCCTTTTTATGGGATTTTAAGACTTTAATAATGGCAT